TCTCAGAATTGTAGTGTGACCACAACCAGCCGTTTTCCAGCTTTTAAGCCCCTGTAGGCTTAGGGCTGCAAACGCATCGTATTGTCGTCCCATAATATCTATGGGTATGATGTTAAGGATCGTATTCATTGCCATAGTAGGTGTTGTGCGGAGAGCACCACTAATGCAGATCAGGGCCGTTCTCTCCACTTTTTGTAATTTAATAATGTTTACTTTCTTCTCCAGCACTGGCCACCATACCACTACCCCGTACAGAAGTATGGGCCTCACCACGACGGTGTATATCCAGTGCACTAGCTTCGGGGTTAAACCCCATTTTTGGCCGATTGCTCTCCTGCAGCTGTATAGGGCNATAGAGTTTGTGGAAATTTCCCATATACTGTTAGTGCAAGATCATCCGCATACGCAATACCCTTACAGCCACCCCCCTCCATGCGCCAAGAACAACAGCGTCAGAATGAGATAATTTCTTAGACGAACCGCCAGCAGCAGCAGAGGCAGCGTCGGCGATTGAAGTTGACGCGTCGGGTTTCTTAGACAAAACATTAGTTCGTTCATTTGACAAAGCGTTGGAGCGTTGCGTAGCAGTAGACAGAAACGAAAGAGAATTACCGATAGATACATCAGCAGCAGCAGCGGCAGCGACAGCGTTTGAAGTAGACGCGTCGGGAGAAGCAGTAGTAGAGAGAGGGCAATTGCTAAGAGTATTTGCAGGCGAGATATCAGCAGCAGCGGTCACGTGTACATCATTAGAAATAGGCAAATCAACAGCGCCAACACTCACTGCAGGAGAAGCAAAGTTATGTCTCAACATGCTCTGCATAGCACGAATATCAGTTTGAAGACTTTCGACTTTTTCGAGCAAGATGTTCTTGTCGTCATGCATCGACTGTAATAAAGCAAACAAACGCACATTCTCGAATCTGAGGCTAACCATTTCACTAAGAACAACATTGATAGTTGATTGCAGTTTATCGCACTTCGGTTGTTCGCTGATTTGTGTTTTTGTAGCTACAGTCGAATAGACAGCCGGCTTCTGTTGTTTCTCTGGATGATCGGATTGCGCATCGGCAGAAAGAGAGTTACCCACACTCGTTAAATATGTAGATGCGGAATGTAGTGGGGGCGAATTCCGAGTGGAATCTATGCGCCTTTTGGCACAATTACAGCAATAAAATGCACTGTCAGATTTACGTAGGAAATCAACATCAGTTTGCGTTAAATTAACACATTTCAAATGAAAAATTTCCTTACAATTAGAGCACTGAATTTTATTCTGACCACGCTCAACTTTTTGCCGACATGAACAAGGCATTATTAAAGTGTCCGAGTAAGATTAAAAATAAAAAGTTATAACTTTACTCTCGCACAAACCAAATAAAGAATTTGGCACTGGTACAGAGCTTAGTGTATGCACGTCCGAACAGCTTCACTTTACAAGAAAAAAAAAGACGAAAACGCTATAAGAATAGCAACGTCTTGCGCATGACTTAGTTATTTGCAAATAAAAAATTTGCGCAGCGTTTATGCGGCAAAGTTTACAATTCTGCAAATAATACGTGCGTAGAGAGAGGCTTGAGAGTGTCAATTCCCCAGAGCAGTCGGCGCTTCTCCAGTAGTTCACCGGAGAGGATAAGGCAGTCGTCCGTTCCAAAACCGGTGGATTCACACGGTGCAGAATTTGCTGGGAAATGAGTGTCAAGTGGTAGCTTCTGCAATTCCTCTCCACTCAACGTCCAGTTGCCCTCTTCGTATCTCAAGTATCCCAAGGGTACGGGATTCCTCGCGAGGATTTGCCTAAATTGAGATGACTCATTACAAACTTCTACGGTTTCGCAGAAATTTCGCCAGACTCCCTTTTGGCCTTTCTTATCTCGGACTTATAGATACCCTATCCGTCCTTATAGAGTTCCTAATCGGAGTGTTATCAACTCTTCTTGGCCTTGTTGAACAGGCGCCTGCTCGACGAGTAGAGTTATGAGAGTTCCACCGTCCGTCACTTAGGTCGGACTTCGCCTCCGGGCCCGCTCAGCGGGCATGAGCTTTAGATGGCACTCTTGACAAGCTGATGTAAACTTTTCCATCACATCATCAATCGAGCCTTCAGTGCTTAAGCTCTCTTGAAGGCCTCTGGGAGTAGTTCCCGCAGTTTTTTACTATAGAGGCCCTGGTTTGCTCTCCTATGTTTTAAAAAGGGGATACTCTGAGGACGATCTTCGTCCAGAGAAAACTGAATGTACCTATGGTCCGAAAAGAAGTGGTCATTAAGAACCCTTCAATCGGAAATACGGGATATTACAGAAGACGAGGCTAGGGTAAGGTCAAGGACCTTTCGCCTAGCCGCTGTGATAAAGAGTGGTTCGTTTCCTCTATTACAAATACCTAAGTCCTACTTGGATATAATCAAGAAGTGACTCACCTCTTGCGTTGATGTCTGAGCATCTCCAGCACGAGTGCCGCGGATTCGCACCCAAAACCAATAATTAAATCGGCTTTCTGTCGCCTCGCTTCGGCTATAGCTTCACGTAGCTGTGGTGGAGGTGGTTCCACCTCGCCGTCATGCGCCATATATGCGGATCAGGGTGGCCACTCATTTTTGAGAATTCCCAGATTTCGACAATGAAGTTCCCCGATTTTGCTCGAAATTTCGTAAAATTTCCCACCCATAAATATCTCCTTATAAAAAAAAACACAAAAATATAATGTATTTTTATATATTGCTGGTCTTTCTGTTTATTTTATTTTTAAATGTAATTCACCAATGTATTCATAAATCAAATCAAACTTTTATAATGTTAGTTAACAAATAAATCCAAAATTTTTTATTGAGCTTGAGACCGTTTTTAATGAAAAACTTATTGTGGAAAAGCAACAATAATTTGAAAAAATGGTAGAAGTGATAGCTATTTCGGAAATCACCACATTTCCTCATCATACTTCTTTCAGTAGGATTCGAACCGACGATCCCACTGACTCAGCCAGTTGGTTACGCACTGTGCTAAGTTCGCCTTGTAAATTATCGTTGCTTTTACCCCAGATTTTCATTTGTATATAAGGCCATAAAATAACAAAAACAAATAACCTAAGGACGAGCACAAAAGTTAAAAATTCTAAAAATAGAATTATTAACAAAAACCAACAACCACATGATCAAGTGTAAATTGCAGCGGAATAGCTGCGATTGATTGTGTTGGCATAACAAATGAAAAATGTGGGAAAAAGCAACGATAATTTATAAGGCCAACTTAGCACAGTGCGTGGGCAACTGGCTGAGTCAGTGGGATCGTCGGTTCGAATACCACTGAGAGAAGTGTGATGACGAATTGTGGTGATTTCCGAAATAGCTTTCACTTCTACCACAATAAGTTTTTCATTAAAAACGGTCTCAAGCTCAATAAAAATTGTTGAATATACAGGCATGTTCTGCAAATCGTACGATTTCAAATCGGCGCAATTTGCAAAGTATCGTTGTATATTTGTAATCAAAGTATTAAATGATTCATGTGGAAACTGCTGAAAACACGTCATTTATGTTATATCCGTCGATTTAGCGCCAAATTTTTCCCACTTTGTTATAAATTCTCCGAAATAGATTTTGTAAATCGTACCGATTTGAAATCGTACGATTTGCAGAACATGCTTGATAATTGTTATAAGGCCATAAAATAACCAAAACAAATAACTTAAGGGCGAGCACACCTAAAAGTTAAACATTCTTAAAATAGAATTATTAACAAAAACCAAGACAACCAAATACCACATGATCAAGTGTAAATTGCGCTTGATTGTGTTGGCTTAACAAATGAAAAGTGTGGGAAAAAAGCAACGATCATTTACAAGGCGAACTTAGCACAGTGCGTAGGCAACTGGCTGAGTCAAAGGGATTGTCCGTTCGAATCCTACTGAAAGAAGTGTGATGACGAAATGTGGTGATTTCCGAAATAGCTATCACTTCTACCATTTTTTCACATTATTGTTGCTTTTCCACAATAAGTTTTACATTAAAAACGGTCTCAAGCTCAATAAAAATTGTTGAATATAATTGTTGTAGGCCATAGAATTAAAAAAAAAAAAACAAATTGATAAATAAATAATAAAAAAGGTTTATATAAAATTTACACACATTCAGTGATCGAAAAAATTTTAGTCGCGCCAATTGTTTTTATTTTGTTATTTAATTTGTGTTATTTTTTTTTTATAAAAATATAGTTCATTCTTTAAAAAACACCGTGTAATCCAAGTTTGAAACTTTATGCAATATTCAACAAACTTTCGTAAAAATTTCGATTTTTTTAACTCGATTTTCTAGAAATATTTTGACGCCGTTTTGTAGCCCACTCAATTCTATTATAATATAGTGCAAGTTTCAAGTGTCTAAAAATTTTCGTTTTAGAATTTTTTGCCGAAGTTTTTGCGGTTTTCTTCCATATGAAAATATATTATGTTTATTCCTTATATGAAAGCAAATACGACAAACAAAATTATAAAAAATCAACATTAATTTTTTCCATTTGAAACTTTATTATACTAGAATTGAACGAGCTGAATTTTCCCACAAAAAAACGGTCCATTCCCTGATTCCCCACACAAACTGAAATTCCCGCAAATCGGGGAATTCCCCACGAGTTGGCTTCCCTGAGGCGGATATAATCCAGAGCTTTCTGGCGCCGCCCCCAGGCTGACAGTCACAATGTCCTCTATGCTGAAATTAGATAAAGTTAATAAATTAAATTTCTATTCCTTTCTGGGCATGCAGGATCATGGTCTACCTGTTAGTTTCTGCACCATCAACTTGAAATTAGGCGTCCTGATACCGCAGATGCCGATACTTCTCAGCCACGGGTTTTGGATCAGGACTACGTCGGCTCCGCCTTGCTTAAGGTGGATAAGGAGATTTGCGGACGCCGACTTAGAGTGTTGGAGGTTTATTTGTAGGATCTTCATTCCCCAAAGTCCTCTCCAGCCACGCCAATTCAACGTCCTCATTTACTGAGGCTAACCCCCCCATTATTAATTTTCTTACGATAGACGATAAACGCTTGCAAGCGTATCGTATGAAATCAGTTCTCGTATTATCGTTTTCATACGCCCGACAGATGTATTGTTGTGAATAGGGATGCAAGTTTTGGGGAGTAACATTGATACATCGATGTTTCGATGCATCGGAAACATGAACATCGATGCTAAAATACAGCGCCAGAAAAACAGCGATATATCGATGCTTTCCGATGTTTCCAAATTAGTTATGTTGTAATCACATTAAAAGGAAAATTTAATACTTTTAAATTAATACTCTCTGTAATTCAATTAGAAAAATACTTACATATGGATGTATTTCCCTGTATTTATTTACCATTCATTTGCCCTTCCTATAAATATAATAAAAATGCATGCCGTCGTAAGTTCGCTGAGCCTAAAGTTCCAAGCCCCAATTTCGTTGAAATTTTAACGGGAATCCCGTCTTTTTTAATTCTTAAGTAAGCATTTTTTATACCGAAAGATAAAGAGTACACTCGGAATTTCTAAATTTTTCCCAAAAGAATAATTAATAAAATTCATAGCCAGCCAAAATATTTTAGGAGCATAATGGGTAAGTTAAATTCAAGTCTGAGTCACACTAAAGTCGATGTTAAAACATCGCTGAAACTGGCATCGATGTATCGTCAATTTAGCGATTTTAGGAAATTGTAAACATCGATAGCAAAGATCGAATTTTGAACCGATATTATCGATGTTTCAAAAATATCGATGCATCGTTTGCATCCCTAGTTGTGAATGGCTGTAGTTTTTGTTTTCGTTTTACGTTGTGAACCAGCACAAATCAGCTAAGTTACTTATCGGCACATCATCGATTCGTAATAGAGAATAACAGAATGCAAGCATCTATCCTGCATCGTACGAAGTCATAATACGGGGTTAAGAGCCTCTTTTCCTCCGCCCTGTTGTAGTTTAGAGAGCATACCCAGCGCTTTCGGCCTCCGACAAGAGGAACCATGGACCATGGAGGTAGGTCATGGGGGATTCCTCCGCCTCGGGCTCATACATTATCGGCACCTCAGGAAGTTAAGAGCCATCACCCCTGGAATCAGATTGGCATACCCTGAGGACTACCTTTCGAATCCATAAGTAATGGCTCCCTTGGACTCAGCGAGGGGGCCGAGAGACTCCGCATTGAGTAGTGTCAGCGCTTGCCGATGCGACACCTCGGACCTCTCAAATCTGATAACCCAGTTCAGTACGTGGCAGCTGTGGGTTGTACTGACGGAGGGTTTGCAATATCTCCTCTTGTACGGAGGGCTCGATTGGGAGCCAGACATGGGCACGCGTGCGGGCAGGCAAATCCATTTCGTCCCCCGCTTCCAGCTTGGCGCCTTCCCAAATCTCCCCCACCAGATACACTGCAGACTTATACAAAGAACAGGGTAGGTGCACCCCCATTCCTGGGTCTTTTAGCGCGGGAGCTTTCTCCCTCTTGGGACCAGCAGGACGCGCTCGCGACTCGTTTAGTCGGGCACTTAGTTCACCACTCCTCCAGGCCACACCGCACCCCTTTGGCCCATTCGAGCGTTTTCAAATGATTCGCAGTTAGCTGAGAAGAATCCTGACCGTCATAGCGCTCCGAAATCTTGGTAGCTATGCGCCTATCGGAGTAAGCCTTTCGGCCCGACGATACCTGCAGTTTAGGCATTCCCGAAGGCTTCTTGCTGGGAAACTGGGTGAGGAGCCCACGCTGGTGCCGGCGGTTCCGTCAAGCACCCGCGGAGTCCGGTTTCGGCACTTCTACCGTCGTTTGCGACAGCACCTGCACCCCAGAAGCGTTTACGTGCGTCGGCTTCGACGCGCTCTTACCTCCCGAACGACTGTCCGGTAAGGACCCCCCCCCGAGGTAGAATCGATAGAACAAGGCGGTTTCGCCTCGCTTACCGAGGGTGGGGCTGTGAGCCCCCCAGATGAGCCGGCTTTGGGGGTCAGTTTTGACTCTCCGCCACCGCTCGAAATTTTTTTGGTTTATTTTGGTTTTCATAATTTTTGGTTTTTCACTGGGTCCCCACTAAGAGCCGCTATCCGAAACCCGAGCGTGTAGTCGACTTTAAATGGTCCCATAGCTACCTGTGAACAAGACTATAGCGAGGGTTGAGACATGCCTTAATGGGGTCATGAGTTCAAAGCCGACCAACACAACAACGGGAGTCGTCTCAACCGCACCTATACGACCAACTTAACGGCGAAGAAAATAGGAACGTACTCTGAGGCCTGCCAGGTTGTAACGGGACGGGGGCAGTTGCAGTATTATTCTGCTGAGTGTCACCTCAACATATTTATGTGTTTTAATACCACAACCACCCGCTCAGGGATCGTCAAATCCAAAACTTTACCAGAATCATAGTCCGAGGACGAAGCCAGGGTCGTTACCGTTCAAGTTTAGAGGCCGAGGAGGCCGCTGGCCATTTGGCGTTACCCAGGCTGCATCACGCGGAGGCGACCTGCTCTACACCCCAAATATAGTAGACCACGGTAATATTTTCGTTGATACCTTGACAGTTTTGTATGTTTGAGCGGTACGGTCCCAGGAAAGCCTTCTGCATTAAATTTATCGACGGTTGCGTTCTGCGCTTTACTGCCATGCGCACGAATTTTTTCGCGGATTGGTGCGGAAATCGCGGGGCTACGTTAGTATTCCGCCCGAGTATTGGTGTACTAAATTTGTAATTTGTAATCAGTGTTCTCAGAAACTTCCGATGGCCACTTAAAATATTTTTCGATTTGGTGAACATTGATTAAATCAACGCTCTCATAATCAATAAAATGAATGTCAATAATGAAAAAAATTTAACAGGCAACTTCTTACAAGAATAAGTTAGGTTAGGTTGAAGTGGCTGCTAGGCCCAGAGGGCGCCAGCACACTTAGGCCCGATCAGGGCCCATTGTGATACCACATGGATCCAAAGACCCCTACTCCTTAAACCAGTTCGTGGAGTCTGCGAACCTTAGCAACTGCCGTATTGCAAACTTAGCAGTCGCGCTTATATCGTCTAGAAGACCTATACCTAGGAATTTCTGTCTTTTCCTGCCTAGTGCTGGGCAATCGCATAGTAAGTGCCTTATTGATTCAGGCTCTTCTTCGTCGTGGCAGCTTCTGCAGTGTCGTTGTGACTAACCCCGAGGCGTTCTGCGTGCCTTCCTATCAGGATATGTCGTGTGAACAGACCAATGGCCAGTGACATCGCCTTTATTGAGAGTGAGAATTTCCCTCGATCTCCGTACATCCCAGCTTCGTTGTATTACAGTTTTCAGTGCGCTCCCATCTGGAGGCCGCTTCTTCAAGGAAGTTCTCCCTTAGTAAGAGCTTTCAGGAAGCGAGTGGCATACCCATCCTCTTTCAGGCTGGTGAAAGTGGAGAGGAAGTACCCGCCCTTGCAAGGTCGTCTGCCTTCTCATTTCCTGGTATGTCACTGTGCCCCGGTACCCATACCAGGTGCAAAGCGAACTGCTCCGCCATCACGTTAAGTGATTTGCGGCAGTTGACAACTGTTTCCGAGTTTATAGTGACAGAGTCAAGCGCCATAAGGGCCGCCTGACTGTCTGAGTGTATATATATTTCCGTAGTGGCCATAACAGCTAGTTTTAGGCTGTCAACGTCTTCTTGTATGGCTGCCAATTCGGCTTGAAAGACACTACAGTGGTCAGGTAGTCGGAATGATCTTTTTCTTCCCAGTTTCTCGGAATAGACGCCTCGCCTACCCTATTTTCTAGTTTGGAGCCGTCCGTGTAGAATCTTATGGCATCTCTAGGCCCCGGAACTCCTTCGAGCCATGATTCTCTGCTAGGTAGCATGACGCTATAACCTTTACTGAAAGTGAGCCTTGGTACACAGTAGTCCGTTGTACTCGGTAGTTGTCGGTTTCTCAGAATTGTAGTGTGACCACAACGAGCCGTTTTCCAGCTTTTAAGCCCCTGTAGTCTTAGCGCTGCAAACGCAGCGTATTGTCGTCCCATAATATCTATGGGTATGATGTTAAGGATCGTATTCATTGCCATAGTAGGTGTTGTGTGGAGAGCACCACTAATGCAGATCAGGGCCGTTCTCTCCACTTTTTGTAATTTAACACTGTTTACTTTCTTCTCCAGCACTGGCCACCATACCACTACCCCGTACAGAAGTATGGGCCTCACCACGACGGTGTATATACAGTGCACTAGCTTCGTGGTTAAACCCCATTTTTGGCCGATTGCTCTCCTGCAGCTGTATAGGGCAACCGTGGCCTTCCGCACCCGCTCTTCGGTGTTTCGAGTCCAGCTTAATTTTTTATCCAGGACTATCCCCAGGTATTTAGCAGATTCGCTTAATTTTAGTGTGGTCTGTGCCAGCCTTGGTGTTATCAATGAGGGGATTTTGTACCTTCTTGTGAACAGTACAAGCTCTGTCTTGCTTGGGTTTACCCCTAATCCGTTATTTTTTGTCCACTTCTCGACTTCCTTCAGTTTTACCTGCATAATGTCACATAGAGTTTGTGGAAATTTCCCACTTACTGTTAGTGCAAGATCATCCGCATACGCAATACCCTTACAGCCACCCCCTTCCATGCCACAAAGCAGTGAGTTTACCGATGCGGCCCATAATAGAGGGGATAGGGCTCCCCTTTGCGGGGTGCCCCTCTCTACGATCCTGGTCAACGATACCAGCACGATATCAGCATTTGGTTTACGATCGCAACTAAGCGCGATTTGATGCCCAGGCCCGTCAGTGCTGCGTTTATCGCGCCCAGCATGATGTTGTTAAAGGCGCCCTCTATATCCAGGAAGGCTTCTACATCTCGAGAGTTTCCATGATCTCATACTTTGACGTTTGTTTGATATTGGCGTCTGGGAATGGAATTCGAATTCCGAATGTTCTCGCTTCTTTACTGCAAGAAGCCTCACCTTCCCTCCAACGAAATCAACGGCGACGCTCTGCAGTACGTGGACGAAGGAGGTCAAGCTTCAACTAGGCATTTACGTCGGTGACACGCCGATTCCGACGGTGAACAATCCGGAAATTTTAGGAGTTACCTTTGATAGCGTTCTTTCCTTCTCCCCGCATACAACCGCATTTGTCAATAAAGTACAGAGCCGCAACAAGGTTCTCAAGTTTTAACATATTTTTCATAGAAATTAAGCTGAAATATTTAGATATTAAACCTGAAATCAAGCACTATACGTTATTCGTTATAGCTTTCGATTTATCAAAAGAACAAAAACAGAATTTTGGAGATGACATCACCTCACAGTTACGCCTAGCCCGAAAAAAACGATGGAGTTTGCTAGAAGAAAAGCGCATATGTCATGAAATCGAATTACAAAGTTATTTAAATAAGTATGTTTGCTGAACCATGTCTGACGTAATTTACATTTATCTTATTACTAGACTCATGAAAGAAGATATGGATAGGCTTTTGGAAGGATTGAAACTTGATGACAATGTGACCGATCATGAACTAAGAGAGAAGCAGCAGGAAATCGAGCAGCAGTGCGTAAGTATTACCTGTTCATAGTCTTACTTTAACAGTGCATAAATAATAATATATTGAAAAAAGAATACGGCTATATATGTATGTACATATGTATATGGTGAGTTCCACAACAAAACGCAATAGTCTCCTAGATAATGAATATAAGCTAGCTGTCTATTTCTAAATAACATGTAGTAGGGACACTAATTATTACAACCCCGACTGAACGAAACAGAAGACAAATGGAAACTATAAGTAACCGTACATAACACTTGTTCATCGACCACAACCCGAGCTGACAACCACCATTAAACGGAGATACTTAAACTATAAACTTTAGCCGTCATCGATTCGCCACTTCTCGCTCGCTACGTTTGGGTTCCGGTCGCTTAAAGAAGAATTTTGCATGTGAAAGCAACAACAAAGTTAGCTAGCACGGATAGACGATATCGAGTTTGGTTGAACCTCATTGAGTTCGTTCTTTTCGCCACCCGCTAACTGTTGGCGAATCGATGACAGCTTTTGTACAATAAACTCAAATTTCAATTTAAAAAGTGTTTTGTTATTTATTTGGGAGTACTTGGTCCCACCAAATTGGTGTCAGAGTGAGATACGAATCCACTGTAGAAATGGCGTGTTAATTAAAGTAAATTTTGCGAAAAGCGTGTGCGAAACTTCTAGGTGGTATCAGCAAAGCCGGCGCTGACATCACCGTGCGCTAAAGTTGGCGTGAAAAAACGTATGCGGTAATAGCATCGTTCTTAATAGCAAACATCTTCGCGAAAAGCTGCGTACACACATACAATTTTAAAGCAACGTACGTAGACTGCAAATTCACCAACGCGGACTTGCAATGCGAGGAAAATCGACAAATTTTCAGTACACAAGCCTAACGGGGAAAATAGCGGTAGTGGCAGTGCAGTAGCGGTGCGAGTTCGCAACACGAGCGGGAAACTACAAGAAACGGCAATGTACGCATGTAAGTAGGGTGGGTGTAGTGGCCATAAGGACAGGCGTTGTTTTACCGCTTTTTTGAGGTCGGCAAGAATTTGTGCGTTCGGCACAGTAAGGCGATAATTGAATAGCGGTAGTTCAGAGCAGGGAATTGGTTCGTCTAACGGCGCCACTAGGCGTAACGCTCGTAAAGCACAGCACAGCGCATAGTTGCGAAGCCGTGTGCATTTTATTGAAAGAAGGAAGGTTAAAAAAGCCAACGGACTGCGGCGTGAGAAACAGCAGGAAGCAATATTATAGTGACACGCTGATTACAGAATAAATACAAATGAGATTTCATAGTATTGTGGCGAATACTGCGACAACGCGAAGCGAACAACATGAAAATGGCAGAATGTTTGATGAAAGACGTAGAGCATTCGACAGCAAGAAACGTCAAGTGGAGGAACACTGCGAACAGCGAGAGAATGTACGATAGACGGCAGAATTCTCTAGAGTAGCCATGAATCAGCAAGCTACAAGTCAGTTGTAATACAGATCAATTGTGTTAGCAAGTTTTGTAGAGTATTGGAGTTGCTTTAACGAGTATTGTAAATGTTGTTATTTCATTAGCGTTTATTATAAGGTTTTTGTTGTACAATAAAGTTAATTGCACTGTAATTTGGTCATCTTGAGCGTTTATTTAGCAACCCAGCGTTACGAACTCAAGGGATTTGGGGAAATCCGTCAACTAAGAGCCTTTTCACATTACTCGGTATGACATACAATCGAAATTTTTTCGTCGGTAGTTTCAGCTTATCGAAGCGATTCCGCGTTGCTTTGATCTGCACACTTTTGTCGGAATACTTTCGGTATTTTATTCTGGCGAAGATAAAGACGTTATAGCTTGCTATATTTATTTTTATTTATTTATAGTCTCCCAGAATAAGCTGTTCAGTGCAGCTAGTCTGTTCTAGCACTCCAGGACTTAGTTAGGAGGTCATAACAGAAGAATGCCTATTCATAGCCTAAATTAAGTCGACACTAAAGTTAGTTGCTGATCTTTGTCATAATTTTCAATGAAAAGGCGGCAACTAACTTTATAATCGACTTTGTTTCGACTATAAATATTCCAAAATGTATGTACAAGAACGACTTCTCAGTAATTCCTGTAAATCTGATGGGTACTGGAACAGACTAATGCGTGGAATGAGAGTGGCATCGCTCTTTGAAAATGTCACAGCGAAAAATGAATGTTCTCTAGACTTCGCTGTCATGCCTTGTTTTGCGCTGCGTCGGACAATCGCTTGTATGCAAAGCCCATTAAACAGATTCGATATGTGGCAGTACTCATGTTATGGGCTGCAGTACAATGCAAGTATAATCAGCGCTTAATGTGAAAGCGCTCTAATTTGGGGTTTACATAGGACAATTTTGCGAAGACAATAGCAATATATTCACACTTTCAACTAATACATTCGCACTTCTCTCATTCTCTCATTCTCTCATTGGCGGCTTCGTCACTGTCTTTGATTTTTCGAACACAGTGAAGTGGACATTAAATTGGACAATTCGGTCACGTCTTGGTTAATTTGAGAAAAAGAGGCAAGGCATAGTCGGAACAAATCGCAGAATTATGAAAAAATTGTTGTGTTTGACCTCTACTTCTCCACATTGGCCCAGTACAGTTCCTTTTCGGAGCTTTATTGACGACTCGAACTAGATATGTACTCAAACTGAAATGCATCCCAACAACCCACAATTTGTTTGTCCCACAATATCCATCAATCTTCGCCCAAACAATTGCTTTTGATTTCCTCCAAAATCACTCGCTTGCTGCTGTACGGGCCATCATACCCAAGTGGCACTTCCATGTTGTTATATGTCATGATCCTGTTCTTCATGTCGATCTTGATGCTTTGGCCGATTAAGAAATCTACTCCTATAATGACTTCATCCACGATCTTCACGACTCTGAACTTCTTTCACACCGACAAATTTCCTATTGTGACCTTGCATGTTACCTCTTCTACAACTTTGGTGTCCTCACCAGTTGCTGTCCTCTACCTTGCTACCACTTTAGTGGCGAAATCAGGTCGAATGATGGAATTTTATACGATCGTATCCACATTTAGTACTCGCTTATGTCCGTCCACATATCCGCCAACAGTGACGTTGCTCGCTTTTCTGCTAATTTGCGAGATAGAGATTATGGGACATTCAATTGCGGGAGCTAGCGTGCCCCTTTCTGCTAGCTAGTTTTATTTAGCGACTGATTGGGGTTGGGTTCGTCTTCTTCAGCCCTGCGTTTGCAGCATCCTTTTTCTCGGTGACACCATTATTATTCTTACCTGCGATTGACTTTAGCGTTTTCAATATCGCGTTCATCACGTCTGGTGTTTCTACTTCAACTCGATGGGCTTTGTAGGATGGTTGTTGTTGTTGTTGTTGTTGTTGTTGTTGTTGTTGTTGTTGTTGTTGTTGTTGTTGTTGTAGCGGCTACAACAACCCCGCCCAGGATGGTTGGTATCTCAGTCGTTGTCGTCAAGTTCCACTAACGGCAGCCCCAGGAAGCGTGCAGCTTCTGTGGGGTTGGTCCACAAGGACAAGGCCGATAGGGTTGTCGGGTTTTCCGGGCATGCGAAGAGATGTTTCGAGTCATGTGGGGTCTCTCCGCATGCCGGACACTCATTTGGCACATCCTCATTCAATCTACTCAGGTAGGAGTTTAACCTGCGGGGGCGGTATGCCTAGAACGGCATTCACAGGTCTAGAGTCTGCATAACTCGAGACTTACTCCCTGTGAATGCCGTTCAGGGTCAGTCGGTAAGCTGTCGGGTCCAGAGGTTGCTTGATGAACCTCTGGACTTCGTGCGTCAGTTCATATAGATGCCTCCTGACGTGCCTAGGCGAGGGCTCCTCTGCAAGCAGCTGTCTGTTTGGGTGGCCACTTCTGTGGCTCCCGATCAGGAACTGCTTGCAGAGCATTATGTTGTGCTCCTCTACGGGGAGCATTTGCGCCTCGCCGTGAAGATGGTGTTCGGGCGACATCAGGAGGCATCCTGTCACTGTCCTAAGTGCGGTGTTCTGTGTAGTCTGTAGCTTCGTCCACTGCGTCCTACTAGTCCCTGGCGACCACACTGGCGCTGCGTAGTTCAAAACCGGCCGGCCTATTGCCTTGTATGTTGCCAGCAACGTTTCTTTGTCTTTGCCCCAAGTACTGCCGGCTAGCGACTTGAGGACCTTGTTGCGGCTCTGTACTTTATTGACAATAGCGGTTGCGTGCGCAGAGAAGGAGAGCAGGCTGTCGAATGTTACTCCGAGTATTTTGGGGTTATTCACCGTCGGAATTGGTGTGTCATCGACGTGAATCCCCAGCGGTAGCCTGACCTCCTTCGTCCAGGTTGTGAACAGGGTCGCGGAGGATTTCGTAGGGGAGAGGGCTAGACACTTTGCAGTGAAGAAGCGAGAAAGTTCGGAGAGATAGCCGTTTACTTTCGAACACAGGTCATCAATTCCATTCCCAGTCGCCATGATCGAGCAATCGTCGGCATAAGAGACAATCGAGACTCCCTCTGGTGGTTGAGGGAGCTTTGAAATGTAAAAGTTAAACAGTAGCGGGGAAAGGACACCACCCTGAGGAACCCCCTGTTTTATTTTTCGCTGCTTACTCGTTTTGTCTCTAAACATTACCGACGAATGTCGACCACTCAGATAATTTGCCGACCACCGTTTGAGCCTCTGTGGGAGAGAGGAGGCCTCTATATCTTCTAGTAGCGTGGAATGGCAGACGGTGTCAAACGCCTTTGACAAGTCCAACGCTACTAGAATCGTTCTCTCACAGGGACGGTTACGGTTAAGGCCACGAGTTATCTGAGTGTTTATGGCGTTAAGTGCTGTTGTTGTACTGTGCACTTTACGGAAACCATGCTGATGCTTCGCTGGGGTCAGGTGGTTTGTGAAGTACGGGAGTAGCAAGGCCTCGAGTGTCTTCGCTACCGGGGAAAGGAGTGTTATCGGACGATACGAATCTCCTTTGTTGGCAGGTTTCCCCGGTTTGAGCAGTGGGACCACTCTCCCCACCTTCCAGATGTCTGGGATGATGAGAG